CAATTGTTTCAAAATTACTTAGGTCCTCCCAGCAGCTTCTGCTGGTGGTGCCCTCCATCCACTATGTTTGCACGTTATCACAAGGTATCATGCTATCACTAGTTTTTATGGAACAGTCTTCACATTTTACTTCTCTGTGGGTGTTAGCTTGTTATATCTGTACTGAGTTTACTATGTGAGCCACCTTGAATGTTGGAGAAGGCATGGCATTGATCCATACTTATATGTTGTAGACCTGGACAGGTTGCCCAGTAAATGTTAGTTAAATATTTAATTTTGACTCTCAAGTACTGAGGCTTCATCTTGCTGTGCTGCTTGGTGGCATCCTAATGCTAGGAGGCAGCACAACGAATTCATATTTTGTTGCTCAAGAACCTAAAGGATGTAATTCATCTGTCTCAACAATGGAATGATTTCTCACAGCTTCATCACCACACTGGGCTACAGGCTAGAAAACGTTTAGTTCCTCTTGCTGAAATCGTGTTTAGATGAGATTACATCTGAAATAACACTGGATCTTGGTGTCACAATGCTTATTTGGATAACTGCATCTGAAGTCCATACCTCAGTCTTTAGAGTCCTTTTTACTGGTGCTGGTACCAAAGACCAGTCTGGGGACCCAAACTTCCCCGGCCAGGTGACATGCCTGTGAGGCATTTTGTAAAGGTCGTAAGTTCCAGGTCTACAGAGACAGAAAGAGACAGAAGCCCTTTAAAGCATGTCATGAGTGCAGTGAACTGATACAGCTCATATATAGTATAGTTTGCCACATTAATCCAATGAGATGAGTACAGATTTTCATGTAGCACATTTTATTCTATCACAATAGCATCAGTGCTTTTGTGCTTTAAAAAAAAAGAGCCCCTCTTTATGTGCAAGGTTGCATCAGTTCCCATAAATTCCATCCTCCCACAAAGGCAAAACAGACGGCTTGCATTTGATTTCCTGGCTGTGTTAAAATATTTAGTAAAAATATTTAGCCAGACCCTCGCGAACTGGGGACGGGTCCAACCGGTGGCGCCAGTGGCACCCGGTTGGCAGGGAGAGAAGGGGATGGCCGCGCTGTGCTTCCCTGTGCCGCCGCACACTGGCCCAGGGATGCCACGGGCACTTCTGTGGGGGGGCTCTGCTGGGGTTCCCGGTGCTGCCCCTGGCCTCGCCGCCCAGGCAGCGGGCCCCACCTCACCTCGGGATGGGGGGGGGGGAAAGGCCATGCTGCACTTTCCGGGGCCACCGCGGCCTGGCCTGGGGATGCCGCAGGCAGTTCTTCAGGGAGGCCGTTTGGCCTCTGGCAGCCTTCCCTCTGCTGCCCTCGCTGGCCTGCTGGTGCACCCCAGCCACGCGCCCCCCCCGAGCGAGCTGCTGGAAGGGGAGGCAATTTTAACCCCCCTCCCCTTCCTTCTCGGCTCCGGTTTCCTCGCTCTCCCCGCAGAAAGGCGCCCCCTGCGTGCGGATACCTAAATCCGTGCATCGGGGGCACCTGGGGGGGAGGGAGATTTTCGTGCACACTTGGGGCAGTCCCCAGATGTGCACAAAAATCTAAAAACCCAAAAAACATATTGGGGGGATACTTAAATCCCCCCAAAAGTGACAGAGCGTCCCCTGCGCATGCGCAGGGAACGCTCTGTGAACTCCCTCGCTGCCGCCGCCACTGCTTTGAAGCCGGGGGGGGGGAAACAGCAGCGAAGCCCGGGGGGGAAGCCGATCGG